TAAGAGGTCCTGCAGCTCCCCCGATTCATTCATTGACAAAATTTTCTCAGCACCCTAGAAGGAAAGAGGCAAAATCCGTTAGTTGGTGTCTGGGAGGGTAGGTGTATACGTGAGTGTCTGTGTGTGAGTAGGACAGAGAGAGAGAGAGAGAGAGAGGAGGGTGGAAGGTGGTTATTTTGGAGAATTTAACAAAGGAGAAACTTTCTTTTTGCAAAAGGCCTTGATAGAAATCACACTTTTTTCCAGCTGAACCAAGTCAAGCCTGTCGAACAAATTCCATTTGTCTAAATGGCGCTACACGATCATCGCCAAAGGTGGCCTTCCTATAAAAATAGGGTTAAAAAGCACTTCATCACATTTAATTTCTTCATATACGTTTGCATCAGAGATTCTTACTACACGCATAAGAGAAATTGAGGGCTTTTTGTTGTTGTTGTTGTTGTTTTTGCAGTTCAAGGATCTCCAACCCTGAATTCACACAGAGCTGGTTAAGTATAAAGGGGAAAAGTCTATGGAGATTCTCCGTTATCCAGGTCAGGGTTGTCCCAAAAGTGCTTTTTTCAGGAGGCAACTGGAGTTTCTGGTTTTTCTCTGAAGACGTTTCGCTTCTCATCCCAGAAGCTTCTTCAGCTCTGACTGGATGGTGGGGAAGGGAAGGATTTATACTCCTTGCAGACAGCTGGTCATTTGCCTTCTTGTAGAGAGTCGTTGAGGCCACTTGGAGGTTTAATCTGTGTCCTCAGTGGTGCTTTTTCAACTGGACTTTCTTGTGTTTCTTTGAAGACTTTTCGCTTCTCATCCCAGAAGCTTCTTCAGCTCTGACTGGATGGTGGGGAATAGAAGCTTTTAGTCTAGTCAGAGCTGAAGAAGTTTCTGGGATGAAAAGTGAAAGATCTTCAAAGAAAAGTAAGAAAGTCCAGTTGCCTCCTGAAAAAGCCCCTTTGGGACAACCACGACTGGAATGACTGAGAATCTCCATATATTTTTAGCCATGCATTTTGGGATGAACACCCTCCGAGTGGTGTGGGAGTATGAATGGATTTCCAGAAAATTTTTTTGCAGACTATAGGAACCATTTGCGCCACTCAGGTGACCCTGAGGACACAGACAAATCTCCAAGTGGCCTCAAGGACTCTCTAAAAGGATGCAAATGACCAGCCTTCTGCGAGGAGTATAAATCCTTCCATTCCTCCACCATCCAGTCAGAGCTGAAGAAGCTTCTGGGATGAGAAGTGAAATGTCTTCAAAGAAAAGCAAGAAAGTCCAGTTGAAAAAGCACCACTGAGGACAGAGATAAACCTCTAAGAGGCCTCAACGACTCTCTTAAAAGGATGCAAATGACCAGCTGTCTACAAGGAGTATAAATCCTTCCATTCCCCACCCTCCAGTCAGAGCTGAAGAAGCTTCTGGGATGAGAAGCGAGACATCTTCAAAGAAAAGCAAGAAAGTCCAGTTGAAAAAGCACCACTGAGGACACAGACAAACCTCCCAAGTGGCCTCAACAACTCTCTAAAAGGATGCAAATGACTAGTTTTCTGCAGGGAGTATAAATCCTTCCATTTTCTCACCATCCAGTCAGAGCTGAAGAAGCTTCTGGGATGAGAAGCGAAACGTCTTCAAAGAAAAGCAAGAAAATCCAGTTGAAAAAGCACCACTGAGGACACAGACAAACCTCCAAGTGGCCTCAACGACTCCCTAAAAGGATGCAAATGACCAGCTGTCTGCAAGGAGTATAAATCCTTCCATCCTTCACCATCCAGTCAGAGCTGAAGAAGCTTCTGGGATGAGAAGCGAAACGTCTTCAAAGAAAAAAAGGAAGTCCAGTTAGTTGCCTCCTGAAAAAAAGCACTTTTGGGACTGTAAAGGGAAAAGTGATGAAAAGGCTTAGGAAGCAGCTGTGAAAAATTAAAACAATTCCGTGGTTCTTTCTGCTAATCAGAGAAGATCCGATGAACATTTCTATGTAACACTCGGAAAGGGAACATTTTTGCTGCTATGGAGTCAAGATCCAATCCCATTTTGGCAGTGGGTCAGCCCTCCGTGTGAAAGTGTTTGTGCAAGTCTGACGTGACCTCAACTAATGTCAGCATATTGTCAAATTTGAGTGCTGAAGCATTGCTGGGGTGTCTTGCAATCAATGCAGGATTGCCAACTGGATCAGGACTGGCTGACCTTTCTTCTAACCAAAGCCACGTTGGAATCAGGGTTTATTTCTGGAGAGTTGTGGCATCACAGGATGAAAGTGAAGAGTGGGCCATAGGTGAGGGCTTTTTTCTGTCTTTGATGGGTTTCCTTTTCTGTATTTTCTGATCTCCAACAGCGAGGGTGAAGAAAAACAAAACAAAACAAAAAAGCATTTGCTAAAGATCAGCGCCGACACCAGCATGGAAAAAACGTAAGAAATATAAAAAAACCAAGCTTTTGTTCTTTCTAAAGGCCCCTTTTTCTCAAATCATAACAAGTTTCTCTCCTGTGTGAGTCCTCTGGTGTTTTAATAATAATAATAATAGTAAAGTTGGAAGGGACCTTGAAGGTCATCTAGTCCAACCCCCTGCTCAGGCAGGAAACCCTATACCATTTCGGACAAATGGCTGTCCAGTCTCTTCTTAAAAACTTCCAGTGTTGGAGCATTCACTGCTTCTGGAGGCAGGTTGTTCCACTGGTTAAATCAAAGGGAGACGAAGCAAGAATGGAGTCTGGAAACAGCTTGAAGTACGATGAGATGTTGGCCACCACTGTGAGATCAAAACCCGTCCCTTTGGGTGCATGTCTGAATGTGGGTCTTCCATTCACGTGGTGGTGGCCACCACCTTGATTTTTTGGACCCCCCTTCCCAGGGACATCTGCTACTGCCTGCAACCCAATGGGTTGGTCTACACCAGGGGTTCCCAACTGGGGGTGCGAGATGATATTCCAGGGGGTGCGAAAACTTGGGTTTTCAAAATTACAGTGTATATGCATAATTTGTTGCCGTTAGTTTGAACTTTTGTAAGGGGTGCGAGAATATATCAGAAGTCTTCTAGGGCTGCGGGGTATAGAAAAGTTCTTGACCGGTAGTGTTAAAAGAAAAAACAGGTCCAGTTCCAAGCCGGGAATAAAATGGAGGCTGCTGAGGAAGGAAGGAAGGAAGGAAGGAAGGAAGGAAGGAAGGAAGGAAGGAAGGAAGGAAGGAAGGAAGGAAGGAAGGAAGGAAGGA